CCGCCCTAAGACCTATATTATGCTATTAATAATAGCTATAAATAAAGGATATTTTATATTTAGTTATAATGTTAAAAACGCATTTTTATACTTTAATATTAATTTTAAAATATATATAAAATTACCTATATATATATATAATAAACCAAAATATAAAAATAAAGTTGTAAAACTAAATAAAGCTTTATATAGGCTAAAATAATCACTTATGCTTTGGTATAAATACTTAAAAAATATATTAACTAAGCTAGGATTTATTATTTACCCATATAATGAAGGAGTATTTATATACCCTAATAAATAAATTATATTTATATATTATATAGATAATATTATCGTTATAAGACTTAATAATAATAATATAAATTTAATAATTAATAAACTATATAAGAATATAAAACTAGATTTTTAAGGAGATTTAATAAATTTCCTTAAAAGCAATATATATATAAACAGAGAATATAAATAAATAACTATAAATTAAAATAAATATATAAATAAAATATTAAAAAGATTTAATATAAAAGAAAAGGTTAAGAAAAAGGAAATAATTCCTTAACTTATATTATATACTCTTAATAGAAAATTAAAAAAATATATTAATTAAGCTGATAAAAATACTATAGAATTATATTAGCAATAAATAGGGTTTATATTATATACTAGCTTAAAAATAAGGCTAGATTTAACCTATTTTATAAATAAGTTAGCTAAATATATAGCAAACCTAAGATTAAAGCATATAAAAGAATTAAATAAAATATAAGGATATATATATAAATTCTTATATATATTTAAAGTATATAATTACTTTGAAAATAATTTATAATTAATAAGCTATATAAATTTAAACTAAGGTAATAATATATTTATTAAAAAAAGCACCTTTAGTTATATATTTAGCTTATATAATTATAATAATAATAATAATAATAATAATAAATAATAATAATAATAATAATAATAATAATAATAATAATAATAATAATAATAATAATAATAATAATAATAATAATAATAATAAAATAAATCCCATAAGCTGGAATTCTTAGCTATAAAAAACATTAGCACTTTCCTTTATAAAAGCAGAATATATAGCTTTAAGAAAAGTTATAAAAGAAGCAGAATATTTATATAATTTACTTGAATATTTTAATAATAATTTAAATATTGGCTTTAATCTTAAGCCCCTTACTATATATATAAATAATAATAGGGCTAAGAAATTAGCTAAAAATACCTTATTTTATAAAAGAATTAAATATATAAATATTGCATATTATTATATAAGAGAAGTAATAGAAAATAACAAAGTAATATTAAAATATATAGATTTTAAGTAAAATTTAACAGATTGGCTTATAAAACCAATAGATAAACTATACTATAGAGAGTTTAAAGAAAAGTATAGTTTAATAAAAAAATAATATAAAAATATTAAGCCAAAGAATAAAGAGATTTTCCACCTATATTATAATGCACGTAAAATAAATTAAGGTGTTTACTCTTTAATAACTAGGGTTAAAATTTTTTCCTTTACTTATAAAATATATAAATAAATAAAGCGGACTTAATTATATATATATATAATATTACCCTAAATACTAAAGGTTTTCCCTTAGAAGAAATAATTAAAATAATAAAGGTTTTCCCTAAAAAATAAGCGTTATTTACACGGCCTATATATATATTATATATATATATAGTTATAATATACCTACATTGCGTTTATATATGTTTAATTTTATATAGAAAACGTATTTCCGTAGTATATATAGTATAAATAAAATGATATATAACTTTAATATATAAAAATGCCGTGATATATCATAGCTATTATAAAATAATTAGTAAATCCTATATAAAACTATAATTTAATATATAATACCCTATTGGCTATAAGTTTAAGTTTAAGTAATAGCAAATTTTTAGGTTTTTTGCTTAAATATATAAATACTTAATAAGTAAGTTTTTCCCCTTTTATAAGGTTTTCTTATTATATAATTAAATATTCCTTTTTTATAAATTAAATCCCTTATATATAAAATAAAAATAAATAAAAGGGAATTAGTTTAAGGGGGGCTGTTGGAATATTCTAGATATCTAGGCTATTATTAATACGGGATATCCTTTTCCCCATACGTTTGCCACTGTATGGAGGATAATAACTATAAATAGGGGCCTTCCCTCCCGTTGAATAGACGTTAGCTAGCCTAATAGACTAAGCATCCAACGCTATTATTTCTTACAGACCCAGACCTTCATGCAAGACTGGTCGCCGCCGCCAAAGAAGGTGGTGGCACGGCAACATGGTCGATCCTCAAAGCCCTAGGTGCGCAACACGTTGTCAGTCTAAATTGCTTGGTAACGCTTGTTTGATATTAATGAAACAAGACACAGACAAGACCAGCGCCACCCCCGGCAACCGACTCAAACAGAGTAAAACAAAGCATGATACCTCCGTGAGCCGTGCCCGGTTGTCTCTTGGCGAGCTTTTGCCTAACTCAGTGCAGCAGGAAGATTTCTCGAGCACCAGAGAACGCGTTGAAAGCTAGAAGGGATACGCCGGAGTCGACCGCGACAATGACGAACTCTTCACCACCGCCCCTCCTCCAACGCATGACCGGTTTACAGAGGCCACTGATCCCCACCCCAAGAACGAGCACCCAGCATCATATGACGGGGCACCTCAGCAACCTGTGCCTCAGCACCCAGCGACCCAGCTTCCAGCACCCAGCACCCGGCAGACCCCATCACCACCACATCAAGAACCGTCTTCAACTTCCCAGTCACCTTCATCTGAGCTTACCCCGTATGCACAGGAACAATCTCGACAAATCTATCGGATCCTGTCATGCCCCACAGACGCATACTTCGACATACTGTCCTTAGCCAACGGTACGGACACGCTTGACCTGATCCAAAGAAGTTGGTTCAATTTATCATCCCTGTTACAACCAGGAGGATGCCCACTTCCCGATGCGGACATGGCACTCTCTCGTGTCAATGGTGCATATATAAAGGATATCACACCCCCGCACCGGTTGTAGACATACCGGTGGATATATATATAAATAGCTAAGAGCTAAATGTATACTTTAGCATATATTTTTAACTACCTTAACCCTAAAAGTTATTAAATTTAATTCTTAATTAAAAATTAAAATACTTTAAATTTTTTATTTTTAAAAATAAATAAAAAAGAAAATAAAGAAATAAAAACTTATAAAAAGCTTTTTTTATATATTATATAAATAAATTCTTAAGAAAAAATATTTAATATTTAGTTTAAAGTTAGATAAATATTTAATTAAGAGCTAAATAAATATTTAAAAGTATCCTTAAGAGGTATGTGATTGCTATCCGCAATCGGAGTTGGTGGACTGTCCACCTATCCACGAGGGGTGTTATACGCCTGGATCCAAGAGCACCCTGGGTTGCCCCAACCATATGTCCCACCTCCACCAATGGCCCCTGTGACTCAAGACCCACTGAGTTCCCTCATAGCGTATCTTGCTGCTTCTTCCCCTGGAGTAGACACTGGCAGGGAGTCTCAGCAGTCCGGGGATAGCCCCGGCACCCAACCTCACATTGCACCACAACAGCCCGAGTCTTGTCATACTCGCGATTTTACACCACCACCCATAACATTCAGCCCAAGGCCATCCTCTCACATCTATGTCACCAACGGCGAACCTACCATCCGGCCGGTGGTAGGTTGGCAGTTCCGGGAGATCGGAGGAGAGACGATGGTGTGGTGCAACGGCCGATGGCGGAACCTCATTCAGAACCGCCCGAATTTTCAGGGCTTGTATGTCAACGAGCACGACTGGATCATGCCCTTTCTGGACGGCCCTTTGAGTGCGAGTCAATGGAAGACGGTTCGAGGCCAGGCGAAGGTAGAGTTCAACAGTCACCCATAGATAGCAAAGGCTCTTATTACTTAAGTGGCAATCATATTAGCGAGACGTTTTCCGCGTCATACTTCTCTCTGTGTTGAAGGAGCTTATATGTGCTGTGTCGTCGTTCGGGTGGGTCTCCATTCGTGTCTGACTGTACTGGTCGTAGAGCCGTCAGGGGCCGCCGTGAGCATAAGTCTCTTGATAGGGAGAAACTATCTAGGCTCTCTGATGAAAATCATTACTGTAATACCTGGCATGGGAATGGTGCATATGCACTGGACAGCACAACCACATTTCCCAGATGTTGCATAGAGCCCGTGTCCGGGGGGTCATGCGGCGCAGGCGTTGCTGAGCGTAAGTCCATTAACAAAGAATACGGAGCTTTGCACCTGAAAAGACAGAGGGTACACCGGTACATAGCTACAGCTAGTCAAATCACATCACCCAAGCCTAATTCACCCCGCGCCCCCCCTCCCCCCCCCAACACCTATACACCTAACAACCACACACCCACACACCCACACACCCAGCACCTATACACCCAACACCTATACACCCAACACCTAATACCTATACACCCAAGTTACATAGTTAATTTATGTGAATAGGGTGTGTGTATTGGGCATGGCTGTTGGGTGTCGGTGTTGGGTGTGTGGAGTTTCATGTAGTTTTGGTGTTGGTGATATACCGGTGTCCCCCCCCCCCCAATACGTGTTTTTATAGGTGTGAATCTCCGTATTCTTGACAAAAACATCCGCCAGTAACGTCTGAAGCGCATTGCGAGAGTACTTGGGAAAGAAAGCATGCGCGAGCAATACCACACTGATTAGACTTATTTCTCTCGCCTAGCCAAAGCGCCCAAGTCCTCCTTCCTGCAAGACCATTTCGCCCTTGTCTCGATTTTCACCCGTTCTCTGGGCCCTTTTTGCAACGATAGCATACTAAACAGTAGATTAAAGTCGCCAAGTAGTAGTTCATTCGTTGCTCATAAAACATGAAACCATACACACGTCGCCGCCGGGCACTCATCCCCGCCTGTAGCCATTACCGCGCTCACCGTGCCACAAGGACCTCGTAAACGTCAGAAAGCGCCCGCACCTAGGAAGCGCGCTCGACAAACTCGACGCTCTCCACGAACTCGCTCTCTGCGTCGCTCCCACCATCTTCGACATCCGACTGCCCATCGTCACTGAGCTCCTCCTCCTCGATGGCCCAGTCTCTGAACCCCTGCCCCCTGATCCAGGAGATACCCTTCCTCCAACTGTCCTCCCTGACGGCCCTGGCGTCCCTCTCGTACACGGCGCCCGTGAGCATGACGGCCAGCACGAACACCCACACGTCGCCCGCCCTCATGGCCTTCCACCAGCGCCGCTTGACGCCGACCTTCCAGAGGCTGTCGACGCTGGCCCGCGCCGAGTACAGGAACACGCCGCGGCCGTGCTTGCGCTCGACCCAAGCCCAGAACCCGGCCAGGAACCCGCCGAGGAAGAAGCGCTGCGTCGCGAGGAAGGACCGCGGCAGCCACGTCTGGAAGAAGCAGATGGACGCCCAGGCGGACGAGATGGAGCCCGTGACGAAGGCGCTCATGCGCAGCGCGTTCATGACGAGCTTGTTAAGCGTCGTGAACGGGAAGTTGTACAGCGCCTTGTACCGTGGTACCAGGAAGGCGGAGTAGATGAGCAGGAAGAAGCGCGTCAGGGGCGGGAAGGAGCGCAGCCAGAAGGTCAGGAACGTGCGGCTGCACGATGGATCTTGTGGGTGCAAGGTCGCGCAGCTAAGGGCTGTGATGAGAGGGTGCGCCGGGGCCGTGAGGGGAGATATGTTCGTGAGCGTGGGCGGAAGGGTCTCCTCCTTGTTAGGGAAGAGAGTTGGTGAGACATAGGGCCTGTTTGCGAAGTTAGTTCTGCCCGCACATTGATGGAGAGGAGGTTGACTCACGGCCAATTAATCCGAGCCATCTGACCCAGGCTGTCTACCACCTCCCGCGTGCCCGGCCACTTCAAGCCCGCAGGATAGTCCTTTGGTCGCTGGTGCAAGTACGCCGATGAATTCTTCATGATGAAGTCGCCGTAGGCCGTAGGGAAGCAGTCCAGGTCAAAGACGAACGAGTGCAGGAGCTGGCCAAATGCGAACGGCTGAAGCAACCAGCTGCCGAACCACCACGGTCTCTTCTTCATCCGCCCATTCTTCTCTCTCCCCCACACCAAGCCCCCATCCTCGGCAAAGTTCCAACTAAACTCCAACGCCCGAAACATGGCATATATCGCAATAGTGACGCGCAATTGTTCAGCCGGATAGATACCCAGCGCCAGACCCGCCAGGGACGCGCCAACCGCAGGCGCATACGGCGAGGTGAGTGTATTCGCAGTCCTGGGGTTCCTCTTCCTGAACGGCTCCGCAGATGCGTCGAGGATATGCAGCCGCAGCCTGGTAAAGAAGCGGAACAGCAGCCTGTACAGGAGCAAGATGCTGCTCAGTGACAGGGATAGCCGGAAGACGGGCGACTTGTGCAGCGGCTGCTTTTTCAGCTTCGGGTCCTGCTTCTGGCCCATGAATCTCGTCGCGATCACGCCCCAGGCCTTCATCGCGACAGCGGTGGTGGCAAAGACCCGGATGGAGTGCCGCACGGCGCGCGCGTTGTAGTCGTCCGCGCCCAGGATGGCGCCAGCCCCGGCGTTCACTCCTGCGCTTGTGCTGCCCACGTCGGCGACGCTCATGTCCACTGGGGCAGTGCCTTCCTTGGCTTTTGCCTTTCCCTTCCTGTCGCTGCTGCCCCCGGTGTCACCGTTCATGATGCGGTTGACCGTCTCGACCGTAGGCACGCGCTTCTTGAGCTGGCGGGACTTGGACAAGACATATCGGTGGAGGAGGGCGTATTCGCGTGCCGAGATGGTGTACCGCAGCGTGTTGCGGAGGACTGGGTCGCTGGTGGCCTTGGCCGAGAGAGAGGCTGGAGCGGCTGGTGGTGCGGCGAGACCTCCCTGGCCTCTGCCGCTGGATGAGGAAGACATGGACCTGTCGGACCCGGGGGACGTTGGGGAGCGGGTGGTCCTTGAGGCGTATATGGAGGTGCGGAAGGTCTTGAAGCTGGACGAGACAGTCAGCTTGGGGCTGCCAGGCTTGGTGGTTGTCGTCGGAACGTAGTATTGCTGAATGATGGCTGTGTTAGAGGCGACGCCTGTGCTGTGCTGCTTCTATCTGCCTTCCTTGGTTGCTTCATTCCCCCAATGACCGAGCCGGACCTTGTCACGATGGTGTTTTGCAATGGATAACCAAACCAAGACAGAATTGCTTACGCTCGGTGCTCCTTCGGAATGCGATGGTCGCCGCCAGAGACGGCTTGTATAACAGAAATAGACTCGAGGGAGGACGCGTTTATCTTAAGAGGGGTGGGGTCGAGTCAAGACGGCGTCTTGTCGCGAGGACGGGAATATCCCGACAGTCCGGTCAGGCCGTGGTAAGAAGGGGTCGTGTGGTGTGATGATCTGTACAAAGATAGACTCGGTAAGGTCCTGGGCAGCGAGTGGGTGGGTTGGACTAGTAGGATGGCTTGGGATGGTCGTCTGTTGCTCTCACAAGGTTGCAAGGTTCGACTGGGCTCAACAGCACTGGACGGGATTGGGATTTACACGTGCCTCGGCTCTGCATGTGGCCAACCAGCCGGGGCTACCTGCTAGTCGCGGACTCACAGGCGCGTTCGTTCCACGGGTCGTTCGTTCAGCCCCCAGTCCCGGACCAGGGAGCTCCCCCTTGCAGGCTGGCAAGTCCCACAGAGCTTTGGCCCTGGCCCAATGGGAACGGCAGTCCTCAAAGTGGTTGCAGGGTCCCCTCCCCATGTTCATCCCCACATTTCCTTACGCGATGCATGATTCTTAAATCTTGGGCCCCGGACGCGATTCCCGACATCATTTCGGTCGAAGAGATCAATACGGCCACACGAGCGTGGTCACTCACGGGCCAAGCAGATCACGAGCATTGGCAAGATCCTCGCCGATGATCTGCTGCTTGCCCAAGTCGTCTCCTTTCCCGGCGCAGCAGCCGAATAAAAACAGACATGCCGGTTTGCTCTGATCCGCTCTGATCATACAGCGCGACGGGCTTAGCTCAACTCTCTGCTGCCATGACCAACGATGACCAAGGTGAACTCTACACAGTAATACCAAGGTTGCTTGATCTCTCCGAACCCTAAGCTGAGACTATCTGGTATCTCCTATTAACGACAATCGCCAAATGCCAAATGCCAAACGCTAAAAGCAAAGGCCCTCGAATTCCATCGCAGGGACGGCACTCGGTCGGACGCCCTCAAAGCCGGCCTCGTCGTGACCTCGCAGCGGCACAGGTATCCGCCGTTGTCAAAATGCTGCTGCTACTACTGCATCCGTATGTGTGTATGAGTGTATGTGTGCCTGCTTGATTGGGTAGCCTGCCTTTCCGGATATCTCTCCCCCGAAGAGGCAAGATACTGCTGATTAAACCCTTCAACACATCATTCCTAGTGTGTGCCAGTACTCCTCCTCCGCCTCCGTTTCTGCGCATCAAGACCGAAGTTAATACAACACGTTACTCCAACACCCGTCGCAATGCTTTTGTTTTTGTGCCGTGACCATTTTCTTTTTCCGCCAACCCTGAAACCAAGACAGCGGCCGCACCCGCCGAATCTGCCAAGAAACGCTTTTTTAAGACGCCGTGCAAAAACCAAGCCCTGTCGTCCCTCTTCCTGCCCTCGTACTTGCCGTGCAATTTCATCCATCCGTTCAACTTCATATCATCAAGTTCGTTCGCAGATTCTCCAAAACCGGCGACGTTGGCTCAACTTCAGGCCATAAGCGTCGCGACAGTTGGTACTACCTGCTGTCCCTAAAGGGCTCCCAAACCCGCTCGATGACAGGCGCATCTCCATTCGGCACGCATTGCTCCCTCCAGCAGACACTGTTCCAGACACCCTCGAGCAGCTGAGGTTCCTGGCTCCGCAGAGCCGCCCCGGGGTCCGGGCCTTCGTGCCGGCCAGCCATGAATTCCGAGACAAAACGCAGACGGCGGTTCTCCCGCGCTGCGACCACGTGAGGGAGAGCTCGCCGTCGGTCTTGAGCTGTCTGCCAGCCCGAAACCCCTCCAATATTGCTGCTCTCGAGTAGGAATTTCACCATCTCGAAAGGTAGGTTGAGCAGGATCCGAGAGAGTGCAGCAGCGTGCTCGAAAGGCTCCTGGTGCGACACAGCCTTTCCGTCGCCGTCGTGCTCGTCGGGGTCGAGGTCTCCGAATCTCGGCATGGATTTTCGTGACGACATTTGTGGCGGGGCCCGAATGCCGTTCACAATCTCTGGTCCTGCTGTCTCTCGAACGGGCAGAGTCGGTGGCAGACGAGCGTACCGTGTATTGTCAACTGTGGTGTCCAGGGTAAAGTTATTGGGGAAGTGGGTGATGATGAACATGATGATCTTCTCCACAAGCTCGTTCACGTAGATGCCGTGCCTGTACTGAAACGGGAAGAGGCGACCATGGGGGCCGTCCATCCTGTTGAGGACCATGACTGATTCACGCAGCGCAAACTCCACGCCCTTCTCAATTGTGTCCCAGCTCAGCAGCTTCGACGCCTCCCCGATAGCGTTGATGGAGATGTGAGGTATCTCCAACAATGCACCGGCGGCAGCGTAACCGAGAGCAAAGTGGAACTTTTCGCCGTCCGAATTGTCCGGTGCGATCTTTCCCATAGGGACGTAGCGGAAACCGTACACGTGCTTGATCGCTCTCCACATGGAGTCAGCCCGCAGGTAAGGGTCGTCCGAGGCGATGCGGACCTCATGAAGGCCATGGCGAAGGGCATTTTGCTGCTCTGCTTGCTTTTGCATGAGTTTCGCGAGGATGGGGTTCATCGACAGAATGAGCTTGTGAGCGGGCATTCGCAAGGGCGCGTCAAGTTGCCCCGGGTGTTGCGAGTTGATAGGCGTCAAGCGGTCAGGCAGGACCAGGCAAACATCGCAGTCGGCGAAGGCGGGCTTTGAGAACATGTCGTTGATTCGGTCCGTGAACATCATGGCATCGGCAATTTCGAGGCCTTCGGCGTTGAATTGCGGTTGGTTGCTCGGTGCCGGAGGAACCCTGATGCCAGGAGGAGGTCTGGGCCCCCGAAACTCCATCCCGCTATGGCCGTTTACAAACGGCATTGTGGCGCCGATTTCATCTGCCGTTCGTGAGGACTGAGATTCGTGGAAGCTGTGTGGAGTCATGGGGCCATGGTTCATGGGAACTTGCACAATGCTGTCATTCGGCGCAGCTGAAAGCATTGGTCGGCCAAACGCATCGATCCCAGGCACCGGCATCTGCTCGCGGGCCATGTTCATCGGAGGAGGGAAGGCACCTCCAGAGTTGGGGGCGGGCGACGGTGTGTTGGATCCGGGGAACCCGCCAAAGACCAGACTGCCATTGCTGGGGTGGTGCTGGTGCACAGCCCGGTGGGTGAGGTTCAGCTGTGGCAAGTGGATGGGCGCGGGAACAGGGCCTCGAAAGTGGGCAGGATGGGTGTCGGCTGGCGGAAAGGGCGGGGGAGCCACGCCGTTGTACGGGGCCGGCGACATGGCTTGGGGAGGGAAAGAGACCGACGAGGGAGCGCTTGGGGCGGTTTCTGTAAAGAAGTGTGAGAAGGAGGCTGGTTGATGTCTCTGCCATGGACTCTTACCTGGGGGTGTCAGTTCTCCGGAGGCCGGTGGAGACACGACGGCGTCTTGTGTAGCAGAACCAGCCGATACTGACTTGGGCTCCTGGTGGTTGGGTACGGCGTCGTGGTTTGCCTCGCCGGTTCCCTTTTGTTCGACTGTCTGCGCAGGCAGACCGTCGACAGCCTGTTTGCGGTCGTCTGCGTCGGTCTTGACTTCTTCTGCCTGAGCTCGGGGCTGCTCTTGGGTCGGGCTCGGAGCTGCGTCTTCACTGTTGGTTCGCAAAGGAGAGGGTAGCTGCGTAGAAGCGGTTGGTTTCTTGGGTCGACGTTGGAGATAAGGCAGAGGGATGGCAGGCTCGACGCGTTTGCGAGGTACGGGCTGCGAGGCAGCAGCCTTCCTCGCGACGGAGGGTTTGGCGAGGGTGGTCGTAGACCCCGCGGGCAACGGGGCGTTTGTAGACGCCATTGCCAAACGGATGGGCCGACAGATGGGTGAATGGATGTCTGAGACAAGGCGGACTACTGACGCAGGAGGGGCTGCAGGGCCTGATTAGAAACCCGTCGGCAGAGGATTGCGACGACGACGGGGTTCAGAGACAGGGAATCAGGCCCTGACGAGGAGGCGGAGGTGGGGAGAAAGGAATGGCGGCTGAACTGGTCAAGGCGCATCAGCAACCAGGTCGGTCAGACTGAAAATAGAGGCAGGGCGACGGTGATAGGATCCGTCGTTGTAGCTGGGGTTGTCCGTCACCGGAGACAAAATACGGTCGGTCGGTCGGAGGGGGAGGGGCAGTTTTTGGGAAGTCGTTCGGGGACCAAGGGCAGCCGAGTAAAAAGAAAAAAAGACAACAAGTGGGCGAGACTGGCGATGGACGATCGGCTCCAGCTCCGTGTGCCGTATGAATGGATGGATGCTGCTGCCTGTCTGGGCCTGTTTGTGCCAGTCTGTCTGTTTGTCTGTCTGTCTGGATATTTCAGTTGCTTCCTCGAGAAGAGAAGTAAGTGGTCGGGGCAGCGGCAGCATCAGCCTTGCCTTGCCTTGCCTTGGGCCTGGGCTTGGGGCCTTGTCATGCAGTGGGAGCTGCCCGAGCTGGATTTTTCTGCGCTCCCCGCAACCAGCAAGAAAAATTGTCGAACTCACGAAGTCCGACACGCCACCAAGACCGGGGAGCTGCAACTTGCAGGGGTTGAGCTGACTGCAGCCGCGCTGGCTGTCTGTGGTGATTATGTAAGCTTTGTACCTAGGTACATTGCCCGAGATAGCAGAGCGTCTCCATCGAAATCGCCGCTTCAACACCGCATCCTCTGCTTTTGTCGGTCACAGCTGCGGCAGTGGATGGTAACGGCAGTTTGACCACACACATATGTTCCCTGAAATGCACTCAGCATCGAAGATGGCGATCTCCCAAAGAAGAGTGTCGGAGGGCTGACAGCAGCGTCAGCAATACCCGTTTGCGGCTACGACTTGTCTGTTGGTTCTGGCATGTCCGCATCCAAATTGAAGAACCGTCACAGTACGGGATTCCTCGAGATTGACTCACGCAAGAAACAAGACAGCTTCTCAGCCACGTCGCCTTTTATTCTTTCACAAATGCATGGTTTATTCGTTTCCCTTGGGCGTTGGCCAGCAAATAGCCCGTCACCAATTAATCCTCATCACTTCAGATGCCTCATGTCAAGATCAGTCCGTCTCCTGAACCCAGCTCGACGAACTCATAATCCGGGCTCTCGTCTCCCTCTTCATCTTGTGCTTTTGCCTTCTCGGCCTCAACAGCGTCTCGCAAGGAATAAGTCGTCCGCTGCAGCAGCCACGAGATGAACCCGCCTCCTTTCTTCGCCTCGTCGTGCGTCGCTACCCAGTACTTCGCACCGCTGGCTCGCACTGCTTGGATGCCATTTAGTGCGCCTAGATTCAGCTGTGCCGTCATCCAAATGCGGATGTCGTCCAGGCCATGCAGCAACGCGAGGGTGTTGATGCCCGCGGCCCTGACGCATTCCAGATCGGATCCTTTGATCCCGTGGGGCGAGTAAATCACCGCTTCAGACTGTTTCTGTGGCGCCGTGTCCTTTGACCGCGTTGCTCGCTGGTTCGGGCTGTATCCCAAGTCGAAGGCTATTATCAACGCTGAGTGGTAGTACAGTGCATTCCCTTGAGTGATCACGCGGCCAACCCCCAGCCACGGCGGCAGCGTCCCTGTCTGGTCCACCAACACATCGCGCCAGTCTGTCGTCGAGGATGAGAATCCAGGCGTGGTTATAACAGTGTCGAAGTGCGCCCAGGACCGTATCAGGTCTGCGGCCTTTTCTGTCGCGACTATCGGCACGCCCCTGGGCAGCTCCGTCAGTGTCGCCTGATGGCAGTGGTCCGTGAACTCATGCGATATGGCCACACAGTCGATCTGCGTGGTGCCAGCGCCTGCCTTCCCATCCCCTAGCTCGGCCAGCACTTCTTCGAGCTCTTGTATTGTCTGCACGGCCGGCTCAACGACGTGCCACTGTGTAGAAAACCACGAGGCGACATCGCTCTGCGGCCCTTGCAGCCACGGGTCGATCAGTATGTTGAAACGTGAGCGGCGAGCTGACTTCTTTGATTTGGATTTTGATCCTGGAGACGCGACCACAGAGTTTGGGATTGGAAGTTGCAGCAGCCACGTTGTGTCACCGTTCAGGTGTGCCAGCACTGGTCGTGGGGATGCTAACGCACTTCTCCACGCGGCTGGGTCCTTCAGATCGACGACGCCTGGCCTGGACGAGTCTGCGCCAATGGCCATTCTGTTACTTGTAGAGATTTCAATTTTGCCTCAGGTGGTCTGTGATGAATTATGTCCCAGGCTATAAAGATATACGATGGATTGTGTGGTGGTTGGGTGGTGAAGTCAACCCTTCCAATCCCTAACTCGGCATCGGAACACAGGAAGCACTTTTGGACGACGTCACAGAGGGCTTCTCCCCTTGCAGCTTGGTGGCATCTGTTCCATCCTCCAAGGGTGCTGGTACGACAGGGATCAGCCCCGCATGACATGGCGCCGATGCCCACAACGGCTTCCGCCCGAGGCCTTGCACAATGAGCTCACGATAACATGACGAACAGAACCTATTTTCTTGAACTGAGCCCCAATGCAAAACGTGTACGCTAATGAACTAGGCTGACTCCATGGTTTCTCAGAGACTCGTTTAACCCTATGTTATACATGGTACGCAGCGAGAGACCTGTCCATACACACATTAAGACAAGGACGCAATATTTTCCCAAGCTGAAATGTAGTGCAATGTCTCTGAGTTAAGCTATAAAGTGATCTCAAAGGCAATCTGAAATTGGTGGACTGGCATGCTTGCAGTGTCGGTCACATACCATTGGCTTGTATTGTGGGATGAGAGAAATCTAAACCTCGGCTTGGTCTGCAAGACAACCATTGCGCTTAGCAGATGTAAATTTGTTAAAATCGGGGCCTGGGATGTTATCTGGAGTGATTAGCATGATTTACCTGAGGTTATTTTCGGAATTTTTATGAGGATCTTGTCTCTATTCTATTGTTTCTTAGGCATTTTACCAAGAGTTTACCTTTTCCTTAAGAGAGGGGATATTCACATCCACAGAGATGGGTGGTATGTCCATAATGTACCCTGCAACCAGTGCCCTGCATAACCGCCATCGCCACCTAAGTTAATTTAACCACCCTGTATTTACACTGTGTTAAATCAACTGATTATTTATTAAGATTAATTAATTTAGCATTATAAATAATATTTAATCACTTAAATATCATTTTTCTAATGTTGTAATAATAACATAAGTTTTAAATTACTTTAATTTAAAGTTATAATGGTAAATTAATTAATAATAATAATAATAATAATTATTAAGGCCGTCTTAGCGATAATAATAGCAAAGAAAATATTTAAAATAAAATTATTATAAAATAAGTAATTTACGCCTTAAAAAGTATAAAAAAGCTATATTAATAATAAAAATGCCGCATTATATTATATTAATTTAAATATAAGGCGTTAATTATATACTAATTATAATATATTAAGATATATTATTTATGTTTATAAATATAAATATCTCCTTTCTTCCTTAAAGCTTTTTGCTTTAATATATTTAATATTTAAATAATTGAAAATATTAACTTTAATTATTATGTTAAATAAAAGTTCATTATTAAAAGTTATTATGCACACTACTTTAGATAGCAAGGCACTTCATTGGTTTGGCTTTAGTACAAAGAGGAGTCATTGGAGTATACTGCTCCACAGCAGGGCCTAAATGAGATTTGAATTTGTGGTTTTAAGGTAATGCATTTGGATGTTTACATCTAGGACTATGTTAACATGGATCACTTCCCTAAATACAGACTCAGGAATAAATACTGCAAAGACAATGATCCGGTTGCAGCCGTGCTAAAGAGCCTTTCTATGATGTTCTCAACCTCACAACGTGGATTGTCTGGATACAGTGAGTCTCTGGAAAAATCTGGTGACGGGTGCTTAAAGCAAGCCAGGTTTGTCAGCTAAGCCATCTCGCTATAATGAGGAAGCCGGGAGCATTATGCGGCTGAATGCATTGCCAGCAGACCCGAGCATGGGCAACACTTTCCCTGACCACGCCCTCAAGCAGCAGTATCTTGCTTATCCCCTAGATATAGCTGTCTTCAACTGTTTTCATATGTCCACCAGAAGGAAGTTCTGCTTCATCAATAGTACCTCTGAGTAGGGATTAGTACCCGTGTCATATCAATGTATGTCATTAAAGTTTCTAACTGTGCTCAAAAGGAGCATCCACACTAGCAGGCAGCCCCACAAATATCCTCCTCCAGCATGTACAACATCTAGCAGCCGATCTATAATATATAATTTATGTTGTCCTTCTAATTGTATTCATTACTCATGCATCGCAGTTGATGTGGACGGCGGTTGGGGCATTACTCTAGCGTTGCCTCTCGGAATTCAGTTTCCGAATAGCGTCGCGCATGATTACCTGATTGCCTGCTTAGGACTATTTCGCCGGCATTTACTCATTTAAACGGGAGGCAGCTCAACCCAAATCAAAGTACAATTTCCGAGTCGCCTGCAAGGTCAATTAGTGTCCGAATCTAACCTCTTGACCTCTTCGTACTTCCTCAATCACTTCAAACTTCCTAGCTTGACAAATTGCTGGTTATACTTTCAGTTCCAAACGATTTACACGATGTTGTCAAACAAATTGGCCATAGGCACGCTTTCGTTAGGTCAACATCCATCACACATGCTGGATCAAAAGATACGGACTCTAGCACAACATGGCTTCTCTGGAGTGGAAGTGGTCTACAAGGACCTCGAGATCTATGCAAAGTCCCGCAGTCTCTCACTGATCGCCGGGGCGAAAGCAATCAGACAGCTATGCGACGAACTCAATCTCGAAATTCTATCGCTAGCCCCCTTCGAAAACTTCGAAGGCGACAACTCCACACTCGACCAAAGACTGCAAGAGGCGCAGCGATGGATAGAAATTGCGAGGGTCCTGAGAGCAACCTACCTTCAGGTACCAGGACACTATGGTGCTAGTTGCTCAGGCGACGAGAATGTCATCGTGTCTGATCTGCGGCGGCTGTCCCACCTGGGGAGTGCGAAGGAACCCCTCGTGTCCATTGCCTACGAGCCCATGTCCTGGTCCACCCACATCTCCACCTGGCAGTCGACACTCCGCGTTATCAAGGCAGTCGATTGCTCTAATTTTGGGCTGTGCCTAGATAGCTTTCACATTCTCACGAAGCTCTGGGGCAGTCCGCACCATGCATCGGGCAAATATCCAAATGCGGATGCCGATCTGGCGGCTTCACTGGCAAGCTTCAAGAAGGACTTCCCTATCGACAAGCTGTTCTACGTCCAGCTGTCCGACGCCGAGAGGTTCGACCCAGTCTTCTCGCGAGAGCATCCGTGGTTCGTCGAGGGCGAGGCGGCAGAATTCACGTGGTCGAAGCATGCCAGACCATTTCCCGGCGAAACCAATCTCGGCGGATACTTGCCTGTGGGGGAGTTTCTGAAGGCCTGCGTGGTTGACACGGGCTTTAAGGGCTGGATCAGTATGGAAATATTCGACCGTAAAATGCGCGATGCCGGGTTTAAAATCGATGATGCTGCCACAAGAGCGACCTCGTCGTGGGCTACGCTGTTACGCGAAGTTCGATCACCTCATTCTAGGCTATAATAGAAACTACAGAATACATAGCTCATTCGGGAAGTGCGAAGGTAAATCCTCTTGTGTCCACTTACTTTTACTATGTAGCCTAGGTATAGCCCTGTGGGTGTGAGCAGTATTTTAAATAGAGGTAATCACAAGAGGTTGGCAACCTCCCAACTCCGAAGACCCATCTAATGGCAGCTACAAGATTTGCAATGAACGACGAAAAGAAAAGTACCGCTGCTGGCATGAGTGTTCCCATCATAGCCATGCTTGTCAGCGTCAAACACCGTCCAGGATGGTGGTGGGTTAGAACTGAATGGTTAATATAAACACAGCCTGGGCCTGTTAAGCAGATAAAGTCTAACGCACCAGGACAGCTAACGCACCTCTCCGCAACTCATAAATAATCTGTCTCTCCCAGAGAAGTTACGCAGATGATACTCAGAGTAAGAATGCGAACTTCAATTGCCCCAGGGCGGTTGACGGACTGTACTAATAATAAATGAAGAAAGTCAATATCGTCAAAAGAAAAGATATACACAAAATTCGCAGCGCTCGCTCACAGCACTCTCATGAGCCTGGCTATGAGCCTGGCTATGAGCCTGGCTATGAGCCTGTGCCATCCTCAATCAATGGTCCCTTCTCAGCATAAGCCTCCCCATGTAGCCCTGTGCATCTTCTCCACAGCCACACGCTCCTGATCCGCATCAGACTCTTCTCCCAGCCAAAGCAGACGCGTTCGTACAAGAGCCAGGGACTGGGACCGGTTCTGGAGCTGGTGCCGGCATCGGCACTGGAACTGGGACTGGCTTCGGTTCTGGTGCTGGCGCTGGCACGGGGACTGGGACCGGGACTGGCTCTGGTACTGGCGTTGGAGTTGGTACGGGTACCATCACTGTTGTTGTTGATGCTGATGCTGACGGGCACGGGTGGTGGTGATGGAAACCCCGAGCGTCAAGCGTATCCGACCTCCCGCACGGATGTGGGAGTAGATTGCGCTCATCGTACTGTGAGGCCTCGCTAACGCCGCCGCCACGGACAATTCTAGTAACTCTTTCTGGTGATACTCTTTCCAGCGCGGGTATTTCTTGCCTGTGGGCTTTTGTGTAAGCTTCTGGCTCATGTACTGAGACAGGAACGACTGTAGAAGACTCACTCGACCGGCGCAGCTGATACGAGGAGGAATACGGAAACAAGGAGAGCGAGAGTGCTTGTTGCGAGCTTCATCTTGACTTATGTAAGGAGGTGAATCACAGCTGTTGAGTGATATACCAAGTATTGTGTGCCAATCTGCGTTGTATTCAGAAACCGATGCTAAGGGTAGATCCTCAGCAATTGTGAAGACAACAGGGCTGAACTTATAGATCAGAGAAGTTGATATGGCGACGGCAACATGGACGTCTTGTGTATTACTATGTCCAAGTTTACACCAAAGGATCTCACGATTGAAAATTGTAATCCGTCATCTTTTAAGTCGTGTTCGCGTTCAAGATGCCTTTCCTCGGCTTATGGACTCCAATCGGCGTATAATATATATCTCACAGTGTGCGCGGGTCATTCGGCCTGGGAATGTTGGGATTTTCCCCAAAACGGAGCTGCCTCGGTCTACCGGGCTGTATTTCCGCACTCCGCCTTGGCCTGCTGGTTACCCATGACGTACAGAGGTCGGAAATTCTCCCTTGTGACATTCCTTGGGAGAACAGGGAAATCTTACCACGTTTCGTCCTAAATGCGGCTACTTCGTCCCATGTTGGCAGCGAACGGGTGGTCTGCTCTACCTCGTCCCGTTTAGTAACGTTCGAAGTACGCCTTGCCATTGAATAAAATAGTTCCGTGTATTAAGGACCTATCGGGTTTGTACTTTCTTTTTGTCCTTGGTATCCGTCATGGATAGAAGAAACCGGAAAGGCGTTTAAGCTCTTGCGCAAAGCGCAGCCTTAACTCAGTTGCAGTTAACTTATCTGCAGCCCTGACCATAATACCCTAATCGACACACGCATGTAGAATATAAGCTTTAGGGGCCGCATGAACGATCGACTGCCTTCAGTGATACCTACAGAGCTGAAGGCTAAATGGCCTATTGGCTTAGCCACTAAGTTGTCCTCTTCACCGGCACAGATCACCTCCTGTGGTCTGCCAGGCAGCAGCGAGGATGCCCGCCTACCCCGTACAAAGTCCTTATCTCATTCTGTTTAGACTTTAACGCCAACAAAAGGATTGCGCTTAATGTGGGAAAATCTTTCTATGTAAACAGAAGAGGGGCAAAACAGAAAAGTATTCCTCTTTATTTGTGACTATGTGCAGTGAACAAGGGTTGCAGTAAATGAGAAGTACACACTATGCCCCACATATTAACAAGATGCCCTCTGGACCCTTCTGCCAGAAGTCACTCAGGAGCAGATTATGATACAGAATCAACAAGTTGAAGAATTTGCATAGTGGCGCGAATGGCGTCCATCCCAGTCTGTTAACTTTGAGGAGTCTCCGTGCTCATGAGAACAGATTTTCTCCTCGGAGATTTACCGACAATACCTCAGACGCTTAAACGAAAATACCCGGCCGACGGGCCCCGAAAGACATGGGAGCGACCGCGCCTGTGCGTTCGTGAGCCGCGAGACCTCCCCCTGGAGCCATACTTTCCGCGAGCGGTCCATCAACATACCCGCTCATGGACAGCAGAAACATGCTGGTAATTGTGCTTAAAGGGAGTTTGGTCTCTCCCTGATACTGCCGTATGTTGCTAACTTCGGATGTGCCCCAGGAAGGAAGCCTTGATTTTGCCAACCCACTTATAGCCAGTAATGTGCTGAATGACTTTGACTGGGACTACTTCCTCCATGGTAATGAATGTAACGCCGCCGAGGAGGACTTTTCTGCAGCCTCAAACTGCATGGATCCGGAATTCGAGATCTAGAAGCTTTCGTTAGAGTCTACTGGGGGTGGCTCCGGCCTGGGCGGAGTATGCACTTCATCAGTCTCACAAGTCGCACACGCAGGTGCCACGACCTTGGGACACATCTCGTATTGGTCGGCTCGAAGAGTGGCATATGCAGGAGCGGCTAGTCTTCAGTGTAGTGTGGCATGTGCCTATGCATTTTGATGAGACTTTTTCCCTCCTTCGATCTCTTACCCTTTCTAGGCTGAATACCCGCAGCAGTAGCTCACAATGAAGACTTTATGGCGCACTTTTAGCTCCCTGGGTGCCGACTATTACAGCTGTAAGTGTTTCAACCCCTGTTAGCACCAGCAGCAGAGCGGTCTAGCAGTAGGCGTGAGTAAAGCTGGTTATTTATACTTAAGCACTTGACCTTAATGTCTTTTCTTTTTTTTTAAAAAAAAAAAAAAAAACAAGTTATAAGGTCTTGCAGTATATAATTAAAGAGAGATGGGTGCAATATAAACTAATTATGTGTACGTAAGCTAAAACGAGGTTCTTTCAAAGGACTATGCCCGGCAAAGGCGTCCATTTTGGGTTGGCAGCCCCTCCAGCTGATTAATCACACGCCAGTTCTCACTCCCAACAGTATGGTGGGCATAGAAGAGCCCGGTGGGGTCGATCCTCTGCTTGAACCTATACAGACGATCATATGTGCTTCCAAAGAATGAATGCTGCCACTCAGGTTCCAGGATATCAGCCTCGCTGGCGTAAGCCCCCTCGGTAATTCCCCGCAGCGGCCTGAGCCACTTGTTGGTGAAGCTAAGGCTCAGGTCTGAGACGGCGGCCAGCGACAGGCCACTGCCCCAGGAGAGCGCCGAGATGAGGTGTAGCCCCGCGGTGCGCCACGCCGGGTTCACGGCGTTATCCTGCGGGCACCCGGCCGGGCTCGCACCGATGCCGTAGCCGACGAAGCTGACCCCGCCGCGGTCGAACAGGTCCCTGATGGCGCCGTGCGTCTCGTCCAGCTTGGCCGCGTCCAGCAGGTTGGCCGCGGGCACGAGGCGGCTGCCGCTGCGCGACGTCGTCCAGCCCACCGCCTCGGCGTCCGTCAGGGCCTGCCACGCCGGCAGGTAGCGGTCGAACTCCCTCCACGTCGCGTTCACCTGGATCCCGAGCTCGGACCACGCCTGGAACAGCGGCGCGAGCTGTTCCCGGTGCTGCGCGTTGGTGGTGTTCGGGGCGAACCAGCCGCTCATGATGAACGAGACGTCGTCGTCGCCCCCCCGCGGGGGCGATGATGAAGTACTCGTAGTGTCCGGCGGCGTTGTATGTGGATGTTGCCCAGGTAGATCTTGATTGCCTCCCAGATTGTGGCACTGGTGACGTTGCCGGCGGGGGCGAGGACGAAGCTCACGACGGAGGCTGAGGATAGTTTTGGGGCGACCTTGATGGTCCAGGAGGTGGTGATGCCGAAGGTGCTGGCACCTCCGCCCCGGAGAGCCCAGAAAAGCTCGGTATTCTGCGTCTCATTGGCAGTGACGAAGCGCCCGTCTGGTGTCACGACGTCGACGCTCAGAGCCTAGGAGTTATTTAGCTGTGGGCCAAGTAGCTTGTAGCAGTGACCTTGGTCGGCTTACCTGATCAGCACCCAGCCCAAGACTGGAAGACATCGGCCCATGCCCTCCGCCAGCCATGTAGCCACCTCCAGCAGCAACAGTAGTACACAAGCCGCCGACGCCTGTCACTCCGTATTCGTCTGCAGCTGCGAACAACTCCTTGTTTTCGAGCCCAGAGCCGATCTTCAGGGCTGGCCCAGAATAAGTCGAGGTCCTGTAGTTCTCGTAGAACTGGACGTCCTTCCAAGAGCTCATCCAGATAGAGAGGGCCCCAGCTCCAGCAGAGCGGCCGTTGAAGTCGTGACCGGTGTTCTTGACGACCAGGCGGAGGTTCAGGTTCCGGGCGAGATTGACTGCGAGCTGGATCTGGGCGACGTTGGTGGCGTTGACGACATAGGATGGATATCCTCCCAGGGTGCAATTTCCAGTCGGCTCGTTGGCCTCGATCTCGGGCGGGATGCAGGTCGAGCCCTCCCACATCGGGAACATAACGTCTGACGGACTCTCGATGTGCAGGTCGACGTTAGCCCATTGCTCTGTCACTCGGGCGCACTCGTTGGCGTCGTAGTTCCCCCATGAGTCGTAGCACACAGACGCAAGGGGCACATTTTGTGTGATTGCGCCCCCAGTCAGGACATTGAAAAGTCCCCAGATCGTCCTGCCCGGCCACAGGGAATCGCCCGGAGCTGCCTTGCACCGGGCCAGTGCGGCACGCTTCTGTGATGGGCTGTCGTTGGCAAATGCGAACAGCGAGATTGTTGAGATGCCCTCTGCCGTAAGATTGGCCAGGACGGTGTCTGTGAGCACAAATTCTCCGGCAACTACCTCCCCTGCCGGCACGATGGTGGCATGAGCCTGGTCCGCGGCTTGAAACTGGGCGTCAGTAAAACTGTTTTTGAGCTGTATCCAAGACAAACGAGGATTGATTGGAGGTCACGTGAAGTGCATGTACTCACATATGGTTGCGCTGCTATCGAAAGTCATCTGCGCCGCAGCCAGTTGGCTGAGCTGCAAAGACGCGCCCAAGGCGAATGCCCTGAAGATGCTAGGCATTGTGTCGACGCTGTGGGTGCAGCAGATGCCAGAACAGACAAGCAAAAGAGTGGCTAGGAGAACAGGGATGCTGACGAGGGTTGTGAGGCGGCCACCGGCAAAGGCTCTGGTTTTATGAAGGGGCGCGGGGAGATATGCTGGTGGAAGCAACATCCTGAGCCTTGCTCGACTCGACCTAGCTTGGTAGACGGCAAATAAATTTATGAGCGCTCCGGTGTGGTGATCTCCAGCAGGCCCCAGTTTATCTGCATTTGTGGTTGAAGGTGGATGATATGGACTGAGGCTGGTGCAGATAGGTGGATAATGTATAACCCATTGGAGAACTCACCGAGAACTGGTTCTTGTCGGCCATTCATCGTAGAATGACCTGATCCCGGACCGAGACCACTTTTCCACCCTCCCCCCCCCCCAACTGTGCCGCCAACCGCTTTTGAGATGTGATCGTCTCCGTAAGTCCGTCACTGCAGTGAGGGGATGTGCCCTGGCGGTTGTTACGCGGCTAATCGGGCGAGGATTACACGGCATGTGGACGATGTAAATGGCCCTGGTATGTAAATTAATTTGGTCGTTTCACAATCTTCCAAGGCATCTGGGCTCCTTCGAGAACGTGGAGAATACTCTCATATGCAATCAATCGTTCCATTTTGGCGCTAGTGACCTACACATAACACCTCACACCCTTTTTCCATCACACTTCCATTTTCAACTATTTTCACCTTTTATATAATAAATACTTTTTTAATTTAATTATACCCTATATTAAAAGATAGCTATTTCTTTTTTGCTTCTTTTAATATTTATTTAAGGAGGGTAAAGGGAGTATTAAATATATAAGGTATGTTAATATTTAATTTTAAAAAAGAATTTAAAATTTTAAGGTAGTAATAATTTTAAATAAATTTAGTTAAATTCATACTATTAAAATTAATAATTTTAATATAACTCTTTAATTTCACCCCCTTTTTAATTTCTCTTTAATTTAAGTTATTTTTAACTTTAATTTAAATGTAAATTTCTCCTTTTCCATATACCCAATTTAATAGCAGAGAGAAGAAATGAAATTAGAAAAGAAGCAGCTTTCTTTTCATATATATTTTAAATAGATTGAAGTAAAATTAAAAAGTGCGTATAAAAAAGGTGTGAGGTGTTAAATGTAGGTCGTTAGCGCCAAAATGGAACGATTGATTGCATATGAGAGTATAGACTATGTCTTCACCTGCAGTAGCGGGCTTTCAACTCAGGGGAGATCTTCCCCGGCGGGCCAGTGCCTGCATTTGGCAGTTGGTTCATCAGCACACAAAGAGGAAAGGAGTACCCACACTAATCTGCTATCTGCAATGTTTCTAATTAATTCCTCTTCGCCCCCGCATCTGCGGAATGTTTCTAGCCCAGCGGCGAGACGGGCCCGGAGGGTTTATGGCATCCCCGGAAGACGGACAAGGCTCGCTCACATGTTTGCGTATGCACGGTCTTTTTCGATGCCAAGTCCATGAAAATAAATGGAGACAGCGTGGTGTTGGTAGCAGCCAGATGGATATCCATTGGGTGTCGCGAACATGTGACTGGTCACAAATCGGCCAGCTCGCCACCTACTATGCACAGCTGGTAAGGATTGCACAGTTCGGCCGAGACGGTCAGCGTGATCGGTCGATTCAGTGTTCTGGGCTCGCCTTCTCCCAGGGAGAGCGAGGAAAAGGGTCTCCATTGAAAGGGCGAGAGTGGTGACTAACAGACCGGTGAGAGTACCCGTGTCATTTCAGGTATGCGCCTCCTCCTCGGTCGAAGATCTGCAGACTCTCAATTCATCCGGGCTCAGTCGTTCAACAAGCCATGGCTGGAGGACGCTTCGAGCCTGCGAAAGCGACACTTGGGTGTCATTGGAGATGGAGGAAGTGTGCGTTTTCTAAATGAGCGTTTTCGAAAAGATTGCAAACAACGCTCAAGTGGTAGGTTGCCGCCCGTTGGTAGTTGCGGAAAGGATGCCAGGCCCTCACAAGGGGCCTGCAGACGGCAGCGCATTTCAACCTGCCTCCCGCCGTCGAAGTTGCGTGTGCCGAGAAATGCCATATGAGACGAGGAGGGCAGCGCTACTACTCTGGGTATGAGTGGTATATGAAACGAAAATTTCCGCAATATCGCAATGCAGGTTCGTCGCTGTGGAAATCAAATCCCTACGTTTGCCCCAGTTGAACTGAAATGCTGTTCTTCGTTCGTTCAGAGGACACTTTGATTTTGCAAAACATTTTCTTGAAAGCCCGGATGCTCGCGTCGTTAAACATGACGGTGTTTGCCTCTCTGGTTCAGGTCATTGCTTGATTCATTTTGCGCTCCACACCCTGGGGCACAGATTGTCGACTTTATCTTAAAGGACCGGGGAACATGGCGGGTCCGGTCGATCTCCCGCCTCTCCAGACCCGCTGGCAGGATGTCAGTACCATCCCCACAACGCATTTTCAACAGACGATGCTGGCTGTGATGTACCTCGTCGCAGCCGTTGCCTACCTCACGTATGGCTTGCGGATGTACAGCAGGATTTCCTCCAAGCAAACGGGGCTCGGTAAGTACGAACAGACTATGCAAAATCTCTGGTGACTCGTTAGTGCGCCAAGTTGCTGACCACTTCTCTTCCTTCTAGAAGATTGGCTGATGTCTGCAGCTACGGTGAGCGGCTCCTCTACCCTTGCGTGGCATCTCTCCTCGTGCTAACTTCTTATCGTGCGGACAGGTCCTATCAATTGCCTTCATGCCTGTCACGTATTTCTGTAAGTGTCTCCTCGATAAGCAAACTTGTACACTGTCTAATCAACCTGCGATTTCATAGACTTCAAGTATACATATGCGGGCTTCCCTGTCTCCGAGGTACCGAAGACTTTCGACCCAACACCGGCATTGTTTTGGACGTGGGTTGTCGGTTTGTTATACAACCCCATCTTAGCTTTGGTGAAGTCATCAGCTTTGGTTTTCATGTTGAGAATCGCGGGGCACAAGATTGGAATTAGGTGGGCGATATATGTGAGTCCAATCCATCGTTGAAGGCTTACGGGGATCCAGGCCTGTCCGACTCAGTCAAACTTGAGGGTTCGAACTGTGATACTGACTTGTGCTTATAGATCATCAACACCATCAACATCTGTCTCATGATATCTACCTTTCTCGTCGTCATCTTTCAGACCATCCCGATCGCCGCTTACTGGGACAAGACCTTGCCAGTCCAGCGCAGCATAGATGCTGCATCATTCGGAATGTCTACTTTCATCATGACGATAGTGACTGATGTTCTCGTCTTGGCGATACCGATATGGGCGTTCATAGGGATGAAGGTCAGCCTTGCAACAAGGATCGGAGTCATCATGATCTTTCTTACTAGCGGGTTGTGAGTATCCCCACCCACCTGTTGCCGTTGGGTAGCTCTAACGTCTTCCTCTTGGGTTGTAGCGTCACGATAATCGGAATCCTGAGGGTTATCGCATTCTCCCACTTCTTCTGGACCCCCGGCTACGACTTCGCAAACACATGGGGTCCAAGCTACAGCGCAATCGAGATCAACCTTGCCATCACGGCGGCGTGCGTACCAGCCCTGCGCCCGTCGTTGCGGAAGTGGTTCCCCCAGTTCTTCCGCAACTCTAGCAGTAAGCAGTCTGGTCCTTACCAGAAGCAGCGCTACTACGGAGAGGGGAGGAGTGCAAATTCAAGGAGCATCCAGATGCAGAGCATGGGCCAAACGCGAGCCGAGGGCCGAATCGCCCTCAGAAAGCCAAGAGGAGATTTTCAAATCTAATGGTACTATGAAGACAACGACTGTAAGACATTGTGCCTCTTTCAACTCGATTTGACACGCTGACACGCTACAGGTCAATGTGATCTACGACGATAGAACCGTATCAGCTCGGGATTCTACCGAAGCTGATAGGATCAAAACATAGTAGGTCAAAAAAAAATAAAATAAAAAAAATAAAAATAAAAAGGATCGGCTCTTTGAAAGATAACACCTAGGTCTGAGTCTTTCGGACTTTGGAGTAGTTCTCATGTCAGTAAATCACTTTTTACACATTGCGAACCTGAGACCCATGTCGCCGTAGATCTTTTTAGATTACAGACCCCAGGCCACAAACGTTGAAAGTTTGTGGTATAATACAATGGGTTGCATATAAATTCGGTGTGGTTCATCACTGGCGCGTTTTCCGCACAGTTGGGGTGGTATGCAAATGAGTGTATCAGATATGCCCCAGGGCGACATTGAAACGAATGGTCTAATCACCAGGACGAGGTACTCGTGCTCCCGGAGGAGGATTTGGTCACTGGGGGCGTGGGTGTATTTTCTAAGTCTACGTAAGCTAACTACTCGTCCCGGAGGAGGAGTCCATCTACCCGGTGGACGCACGGACCACCCCACGACATCAGGATAAACTGAAACATCTGTGTGAAACATCTGTGCGAGGTACAAGACAGGCGGGGTCGTAATGCCAGATTCTAACTCCTAACCATTGAGCTCAGATTCCATTCTGCACATGTCTACGATGAAGCCTAGATGATCATGTCGACTACTCAAGTCTGTTTTCTCTTCTCGTTTTGAAGCGAAAGTCGAAATTTCGAGCGGTATTTCGACATACCAAGCGCTCTGGTCGTTGTAGCAGATGATGGTGCGCACCCTAGTGACGAATACGGCCGCCTGTGGTCAAATACGACAACGTCCATCATGGAGGAGAGCGAAGCAGAATGCGTAGAGCATGCGCCTCGTACCTGTGCCTGCGGAGCGCCAACCTCGACCACCTCGCAGATCCCATTGGCTTTCCTTAGCCTGCCTGAGCCTGAGCGGTTCGTGCTCGTCATGGTCGATCCGCTCTGCGGTCGAGAGAAGTGCCGGACTCAAGTGCGACAGAAGACACTGCCCGCCATATCCAACTTGCGCTTCTCTGACAGGGATCTGCCGGCCGAAGATGGTCTGTATTCCTTCACGAAGATGATGAGCTGCAAAGTGTGCGCGACGGTGGATGGCGTGAAGAGATGCTCGCGTTGTCGGACAGTGGCATACTGCGGCAGAGCGCACCAGAGACAGGACTGGGCGGTGCACAAAAGCGGCTGCATCCCGGCACCCGGTATCAAGGAGAGTCGTGCCGCGTCGACACCGTCATCTGGGCCGCAGAGACCACGGCCGGCAGGCATCCAGGAGACGTTGTCTGGCGAGGTTTCAGACGACGAGGGCAGCGTGACCTATGAATGGACAACGTCCGGAGTGTTCAGCACCGACGAAGGCATCCAATACGAGGTCACCCAGGAGGAGGTGCGCGCGTTTCTGCTGTCAGGGGGTGACGACGATGGCGAGGATGTGGATTGATTGCATTTAGGACTAGAAATGAAATTGATTCCGCCCATGACGTAAACTATACAGCTAGAGATCTGGCACCACTCTCATCCTAAAGGCCTTTTCTTCCCGCCGCGAATCTCTTGCTCCTTGTCGGCGGGTGTGAGTTTCTTTTCTTTCTCTTGCGCATCGATGTTGGGCTGCTAATCGCAAGCTGATCATCTGAAAACTGATCTACATCCGAGGCGCGATCGTTAGCCTCGCTGCCTAGATGGAAGGTCAGACATAGTCAACATATCACAGGAACGAGACATACTGGGATCCGCCACCTCGACCACCGGATCAGCCGCCGTGGCACCAGGCAACAGATTTCCGATGACTTGTCCATCGGCCCAGCAGATCTTACCGGCGCAATCTCCTTCGGTGTTTTCAAGTCCTGATTGCGGCGCGGAGAAGAGCCACGTTGGTCCAGAATAGATACAGACTCCAAATTCCGCAGCCTCTCGACTGGACGCTCGGCTTGCGGGAAGGATACGGACCAGTTTTGGAGGATGAAGTATCGCTTCCCGGGGACCTCATGCTTTCAATTGTACTCGAGTGTGAGGAAGACAGGAGCGGGGATACGTACAAACTTTATGTTAGGTGTATCCGAATCACAGATTCGTCTTGACAGGATGGAAAGGTCTCACGCGAGAAATGGGCATTTAATTAAACGACACGGTCTCATGTCCTCCAAGCAGGCATCGACATCCAGCAGATTATTAATTTGTTACCTCGGAATCATATGCGACGTCTCAATGCCCCGATTCATTTGATGTGCCCTCCCCCTTCACAAGTTCAAAATAACTACACAACCAACTTACAGATCACTGCCGCCGGATAAAGTCAAGTGGTGTGAAACAGGCAAAAAAAGGACTTCAACATAACAGCTCGAGTAGGCAATACTTTCAACTGCTCCAGCATATCACGCACACAGAGGGAAATAGATTTAAATAGTGCCCCTGGTAGGTAATACATGGACTACCTATGCTCTTTATTCACCAGCCCCGACGCTTCACCATCACTTGTACCCCCTTCTGCGGGTAAATGAATTCCAACAACCACTTGTTCTGGCCTTGTTTCTTGGCCATCCACGAATTTGATGTCGTACCTAGTAAACAGATGTGAGATAAGCATCTTCAACTGAAAATCGACCAAGTGACGACCTGGACATGAGTTGCGGCCCCGCCCGAAAATGAGCAAGTTCGCGGTTGAAAGAAACGCGTGTTGGCTCCAGCTTCCACCTGCGTCGTCCGCCGCTTTGGAGGAGACGTCCAACGGGCCAGTGCTTCGACCACCCTCGGCTTCTTCTAGACGCAGCTGCACAAAGCGGAAGGGTTCGAAAGCGTGTGGGTTGGGGAAGTGGTCCGGATCTGTGTGCATGGGCTGGCTCACAAATGACACGAGGGCGCCCCGCGGCAGTGGCATGCCAGTGTCGGTTCGCAAGCCGTCCACCATTACCTGGCGGACCAGCGCGCGAGTAGGGACGGTGTTGAGGCGCAATGTCTCGCGGGCGACGCTGTCGGCAAACACCATGCGGGCGACGTTCTGGCGCGTCCACAGCCGAGATGGGTCGTTCTCGGCAGCGGCGCTGCAGCGCTCTGCCTCGTCCCGCAGAACGCGGATCGTGTCGTGCTCCTGGTCCGATTCCAGTATGTTGCGCAGCATGTTTGAGGCAGCAAAGCTCGCCTGATAGATGAAGCCCATGTTGGCCATGACCAGGCGGCGCGTCATCTGGTTGAGGGTCATTTCTGACGCTCTGTGGTGTTGAGCATGCCGCAGCATGCGCTGCAGCAGGTCCGAGGGGTCTTGCGACTCGTCGTTCGGGTTGGCTGCGATGTGAGCGAAGCGTTCCTGTAGCATGGTTGTTGGTAGGTCTCTCGTACGTATGATAATCGTATGGGAAGCAATCGTGTATTGGTGTTATTCTGTTTAAGTTTTAAGAGGCTATATGCCCTGGAGGGGATAACTAAAGTAGCCTTTTAAGTGCAAAGGTTATACTTATTAATACTTATAGTTTTTCTTTTCTTTTAATAAGTATATATAATTCTTATTATAGTTAATAATTCTTATTATAATTAACCTTAAAATTATAATTTATTATATATTAAGTATATATAATCTTTATTATAAAAAAGCATTATTAAAAAAGCTTAAAATTATAATTTATAAGTTTTAAAGCAAATCTTAGCAATCTTTACTATTATATTACCTTTTAAACTTATAATTATTATTATTATATTATTTCTTAAATATTATACTTATTATTTTTAATACTTAGCTTTTAAAATTGCTTTTTTATAGAAATTATTAACTTTTATATAATAGCCTTAGTTTTAAATCTTTTCTTTATAAGGAAAGTTAATGTTTATAAAGTTAATACTAAACCTTTTAATTTATATTTATTTTTATTATATATCTTTATAATATAAATATTATTATTTTTATCCTTATTTTTATTATTAAAATGCATTTAATATTGCTTTAAATTAATTTCCTTTAGCTACTTTTTATTTTCTTAAAATTAAGCATTATAAGTAGCTTAATTATTTATTATTTTCTTTTTTTGCTTTTTATTATTCTTTTTAATTTTCTTAATAATTATTTTTTACTTAAATTACTTAAGTAATAATATATATTTCTTAATAAATTTCTTTATATATAAGCCTTATATATACTTATTAATAATTTAATATAAAAAGTTTTAAAGTTAAGTTAATATAATAATTTAATTCTTTAATAGCTAAATCTTTTTAATTTAATATATATAAAAGATACTTAAAATTAAAAGTTTTATTAAGTTATTTATTATAAAAATTATAATAATTTAATATTTAAAATAATAATTACCTTAGTAATTCTTATTATTAAAAATATTATATAATCTTATATTAAAAGTTTTAATGCTTTTAATATAAATATATAGCTTTTTAATTATATTATTAAAAGATATTTACTTATTTTAATATTAAAAGTTATTAATAATTTAAATAATAGCTATTATAATAGCATTATTTAAGAAAAGTATTTTAGCTTAAGCTATAGCTATGGCCTTTAACTTATTAATTTTAATAATTCCTTAAGAATTTATTTTAATAAGCAACTTACTCTTTTTAATACTTAATATAAAAGTAAAGTTAAAAGCGGTCTTTATAATCTTTATTAAGGTTTCATTAGCCTGATTTTAATTATCTTTATTATTAGTAATAATTAAATTACCACTAATATTAAGCAAATATGAATTGTTATCATTAATATTCTTATTAATATCCATTAAATAAGCGTTATTAGCAATAACCTTACTATAAAAATTAGCAAGATTAATAAGCTTATCTTTATCCTTATTAATTAAGGTAATTTTAGCTCTTTTTGCAACCTTAGTAATAATTTTAATCTTCATTTTATTGCTTAATGGGAATGTAATTGCGATATTTATTTTATTAATTAGGGTTGTAATTATAATATTTACAGGGGAATTTTAATTCTATTTAAGGGTTACGGTAAGGCTACTTTTAGCATTAGCTATATTAACAATAGTTATAGCAATAATTACATTAAGTATATCCTTAATATGGAAAGTAAATATAATATTTATTAAATAATTTTACTTGCCATTATTATTCTTATAAGGCATATTAATAAAAATATTAAATAATTCTTATAAGTTATTATTAATATTCTTTATTATAATAAAAAGGAAAAGATTTTATAGGAATTTAATAATTAAAATAAATATTTATAATATAAAACTTTGCAATTATTATATAATAATTATTAATTTATTCTTTAGTTATAAAAAAAGTTAATAAGTTGCAAATAAATTTAATAAAAGTTAATTTTAATATTATTATTAATAAATAATAGTAAAAGGTAATAATAATAATAAAGTTAACTTTAAAATAATAATTATTAATAATATTAATAATTATAAAATTATTCTTATATATAATAAGGTATTAAAAAGGTTTTAATTAAAGTATAAAAGGTTAAAGTTTATATTAAGAGTTTAAGTTTAAAAAGTATAAGGTTTTATAGCTAATAATAGCAAAATTAAAAAAAAAAAGGTGCTAGCAATAAGTTGCTCCTTTCTTAGTAAAAAGAAGCTACTTTAAATTTCTTAATTAATCTATTTACTTATATATAAAGCTTATTATTATTAATAAGCTTTTATAATATAGTATTTAAAGTTAATTTTATTATTATATTAATAGGGTTGTTTTTCCTATTTATTTACCTTACTTTAATAATTTTTCTTATCTTATATAACTCTTATAATAATATAATATTAATTATAAGGTGCTTTTTTTTTATTATTCTTAGCTTTATAAGGTATTTATATAAGCTATATAAGTTTATATAAATAATTAAAGGTATATTTAATAATAAGAGTTATTTTATAGCTATTTTAATTATTATAACTAAGGAAATTTTAATATTTACTTTATTTATTATGCTATAAATTTTGCTTATTAATATGCTTTAAGTAATATATTTATACTTTATTAATAATTAATAAAGAATATTACTTATTATTATAAATCTATTAATTTTCTTGCAAATCTTATTTATAAGGATAATAATATATTTAAGTTAAGATATTAAGTCCCGGTTATTTATAAATAATTTATTTATAAATATAAAAAGTTTTGCTATTTTAAAATTTAAGGGCATATACTTAATTCCTTATATAGCATTATTTATTTATTATAATAATTATATATTTAAGCTTTTATAATTTTATGCCTTTAGGTTTTATATTTATATAGCTATTAAAAGATTATATAAAGCTTTTAATTAATAAATTAAAGCTTTATATGCTTTTTAAGCTCTTTATTTAAGGTATCTTTAAGGAGCATTTTTAATTATTGCATTAATAATTATAAGTTTATTAGCTTATTCTTTTTAATAAGTAATAATAAAGCTAATGGTATTTATAATTATATAAGCCTAATTATAATTTATTAAGTTTTTAAGCATTAACTTTTATTTTAGTTTTTCTTATAATTTTATAGCTTTTATTTTAATTTCCTTTTTATCTTAAAATTTTAGCATAAATAGAATTAATATATTATTTATTTATATGCCTATTATTTTAAAGGGTTATATAAGCTTTATAATTATTAAGTAAAAATTATATATAAAGTAATTTATCTTAAGCTTTTATTAATAATGTTTTTAATATATATTAAATTAATAAATACTAGATTTTATTATATTATATAAAGATTAAATGATATGGATAATTATGCTTAAAAGGTATTTATTCTTTAATTCCTTTAATAACTTTATAAGGATTATTTTATATAATTTTAACTTTACTTAAGGATAGGCTTAAGTAATATCTTAAAATATAAAAATTATGCCTTTTTCTTAAATTAATAAAAAGATAAGTATAAGAATTATTTATTTACTTATTCTTTAAATAATTAAATTTTATATTAAGATTAATCCTTTTTTATTATTATTATAACCTTAAATAATAAATTAAAATTTCTTATAAAGTTTTATAATTTTATCTTTTACTTTTTATATTATATAAAACTTAAAGAAATAATATTTACTATATTACTTTATTAACTATTTCTTAATTTAAAAGATATCTTTAGCAATAAAATTATTAATTTCCATTTTATTAAATTCTTTAAATAATAAGCTTAATATTATAATAACTTTATCTTATCTTAGTTTAATTACTAAATTATAATTTTTATTTTCTTTCTTTAAGATATATAATATAATAATGCAGTCTTTTATTTTTAATAATGGTAATTATATAATAAGTTGCATTTAAAATTTTATAATTAGGTTTTTTACTTATAAGGGTTGCATTTTCTTATTATTATCTTAATAATATAATTAAATAATTATTAACCTAAATATTATAGCTTTATTTAGCATATTTAAGGTTATATCATAGCTATTTATAGTAATAACCTTATATAAACCCTTTTATCCTTCTTTTTTTTTTATATACAAACTTTATATTACAGTAAGTATTTCATGCTAAAAATAAATCTAACCTTAATGTTTAATGCATTTTATACTTACTATTTAGCCATAATTTTTTATAATATCTTTATAGCCTTTAAAACAACCTTTACTTGCTTTTACATTAATAATAATAATAGCGATTTATATAATACTTATAAGTAGGCGCTAAAAACTAAGAGCATAAGGATTAATTCATTTAATTTAGCAATATTATTAATAGCTTTTATAGCTATTTGCAAGATAGCATTATTATTTATGCTATTATATAATTTGGTATATAGGATTTTATATGCTTATTTAAGGGCTTGATAGTATTTCTTAACTTTCCCAATTCCCATTATTCATGCCTTTAAATGGAATTCCAAGGATATAAAGTTTATTCTTACGTTATGTTTAATAATATTTAATAGTCCTTAGTATATATTAATCTAAAGCATTTACAATATTTACTATATAATTTTTGCAAATATAAATTTTAAGAATTTTGCTCTTTAAAAAGCAATAACTTAGTTTATAACGTAAAGAACTAAGCATTTACTTAAATATATTATATTAATTAAGATTTTATAATTAAATTTATAATTATTATATAATATAAACTTAAAATGCTTAAGCATAAATTTATTTATTTAATAATAATAATATATCTTTTTAATTTTTATTATTGCTTATTTATTAATATTTAAATTGCTAGCTTTTTTAAGCATTTAATATAATTAATTTATTAATAAATATTTAAAATAATAATAAAATCTCCTTATTTCTATCTTTAAAAGGAAATATATAGCATTAATAATTTAATTTAAGAAAAACCATAAGTAACTTTATTTTTTAAATATTAATATAATAATTATATTATTAAAAGAAACTAT